GAATCAGGTACGTGCCATGACCATTGAAGATTCAGTAGCCATTGATATTAAGCAGCATACCAATGACGACAAATTCAAGGTGGAGGGAGATCTTTTATACTTTGAAGAGCGGTTATATATCCCAAATCTCGAGATTTTTAGTGGCCCCAAATGTAGAAGGATGTGAAAGATTTTGTCCTCTCCTACGACATCTGTTCAAGATCCAAGAATCCTCCGCATTGCCCTTATGGACTCCTACAGCCATTGTCGATTCCACATCGACCATGGTCTTCAATTTCCATGGACTTTATCATGGACTTGCCATCATCGAACTCATTTGACAGCAACTTTGTCGTGGTAGATAGGCTTACAATGATGGCGTACTTTGATTCTTGTAAGAAGACATCGTCTAGTGAAGTCACAGCAAGGCTCTTTCTCGATAATGTGTATCGATATCATGGACTATCAGATGATATCGTATCAGATCGAGGAACCCAGTTTGTATCAAAGTTTTGGAGATCTCTCTTTGAGATACTGGAGGTGGATATCAAGCTTTCTTTGGCTTTTCATCCTCAAATTGACAGCAAAACGGAATGGGTGAACCAAGTCTCGAAACAATACTTATGATGCAACATCAATTATCAGCAAGACGATTGGACCACATATCTGCCGCTAGCTGAGTTTGCATATAACAACACCCTCCATACGTCGACTCAATACACACCATTCTTTTCCAACTATGGGTATCATCCAAAGCTTGATTTATTGAGTCCATCAACAAATAACAATCCAGTAGCTGAAGGATTTGCGAAACAACTATCAGAGCTTCAAAATACGTTGAAGCTTCAATTACAATCCGCTCAAGAATCCTACAAGGCGTCTGCAGATAGATTTCAGAATCAAGCACCTACTTTCAAAATTGGAGATAAAACATGGCTTCTTTGATGGAATATCAAGACCAAGTGACCATGTGATAAGTTGGACTATCAAAGATTGGGACCATTTATCATCCAAAAGCAAATCAATCCAATGGCATATCGTCTGGAATTACCGGCTTCTATGAAGGTACATCCAGTCTTTCATGTTTCTCTGTTGGAACCTTATTGAGAGTCGTCTTTTCCTGAAAGAGTGCAATGTCCACCACCTAGTATTGAGATCAAGAACCACGAGGAATACGAGGTTGAAAAGGTGCTGGATTCACGGTGAAGGTGGGGCAAGTTGGAGTATCTTGTTCATTGGTGCGGCTACGACATTAATGAGCAAACATGGGAGCCAGCTGAAAATCTCGCCAATGCACCGCAAAAGGTACAGGAGTTTCATCAACAACATCTTCATAAACCTAAGCCGGTTTGACGATAGCTTCTTTTTGAAGCTTGCTCACCCAAGAATATAAGAAAGAAGGAAAGCACCACCAAAATTCGTAGTTGATGTAGTTATTTTCTCCAAGATAAAATAGAATTTTTTCAGTAGCCATAGTTTGGTCTTCTGATATGGATAGCCAAGAGATAGATACTATGCCAGTCAGATTATCTCAACCGACTAGCTCACGAAGGCGACCCCGAGATGAAGAACTGCCTATACCACGACGACGACGGAGGATACCGAGTAACCGATCACTGGTGATTGTATTTGAGTCTGAGCCTGCTTACGATGGTCAGCTAGAAGGCGTATTTTCAGGACAATTTCACAATGAAGATACGGAAGTTCATGCTTGGTCAGAAGTTGAAAGAGTGGGCCACTACCATTGGCTTCAAGGGCCGATAAACCACTTGCCTCGTGAACAACAGTTGGAATTTATAGCAAATGTTATGTGACAAATCTTCATTTTCTTGCGTTGGTACTGATTAACAACAACATTGCTTCTCAGAGACCTCGAAGCTAAAGGAGGGGGTGATATTAGGGACATAGTCCTTAGAACCTTCTAGAGACAAGTTTCCAGAACCTTCTAGAAGCAAGTCTCTGGAACCTTCTAGAAGCTTCTTAGTTGGTAGAAGATGTTAGAAACATAGTCCTTAGAACCTTCTAGAGATAAGTTTCTAGAACCTTCTAGAAGCAAGTCTCTGGAACCTTCTAGAAGCTTCCTAGTTGGTAGAAGTTGCTTGAGAAGCTTCCTAAATAGGAGTATATATTGGAATCGAGGTTGAAGAGTTCTTTAGTCTCGACAACACATCTCTTGGAGCTCTAGCTCACCTCTCTGGTGTTGTTCTTGTATTCATTTGATTAATCTAGTTCTTGCCAATTCTTCTTGAACTTCTTGTTAGATCTCGAGTTTGTATTTCTGTGTCCGTGACAATAAAAATCTAGTGAACACACTATGGATTATACTCATTTCACATATTTTGTATTGTTCTTTCTTTTGTTCTTGTTTATTGGATCTTCCTCTTCACACTACCAATTACAAGAAATTCTTAATTTATGTCATCTTGTAATTTGGATTGAGAGAGAAATTTATCGTTACTTTTTCAACAAGACTTGACTTGATTTAAAGCTTTGACAAGATTACGGCTTTTAATTAGGTGAGAGGAGGTTTGTTGCCATTAAAATATTATGTATTTACATCTGATTTTTCTTATATGATTTTAAATCTTATTGTTTAAGTTTGGAGATGAATTTTGGATGAAGAATTAAAAATGATGTATTAATGAATATTAGATAAATATTAAAACTTTTGGATGTAATACTTGAATAAATTTGTTAATTTAGAGGAATAAATTTTATAGATAAAACATTAAGATGACATCTATTATATCATTGAATGAATGTAGATTGAATGAATTTAGATTAGATAAATTTATTAATCTTATTTAATTTAAAGATTACTAATTTAAATTGGACTATAATAATTTGTGATTGATCAAGGCTCATTAGTTTATATTAATTTGTGTAACATTTTTAAAACATCTAATTGAGTGCACTTAATTTTTTTCACAATATATAACTACTTTTTTAGGCTATTTTTAAATAAATGTTAATACCATGGACAACAATATAATAGCAATAATACAACTTAGTAGTAATAACAAGAAGTTTATTTAAATGACATATCATCAATGGCATCTGATATGCAATAATATAATACATAATACTTAATAAAAACTTATCAATCTTAGAAAACAAGCATTAGATTTTTATTTTATTTTATTTTATTTTATTTTTTAAAATATAAATTATATTTGCTTGTGATATAACATCGAAAACAATTCTTTTGGTCACAGTGCCTCAAATAAACAATATTAGAAGTAGCAAGGCAACTAAACACCAAGAAGTACTAGTAGAACCCTTTACAAACAATTATAAGTTAATTCTAATTAAAGTATGCTTAGTAGAAAAAAAAAGGTGGAAATGTTCATCACCAATCTATAATGCCAACTTATTGCTCTTTTATAACCAATAATTATAACTAATACTATTATGTAAAACATATTTTTTAACAAAAAAAAAAAAAAAAAAATCAGTTTGTTTTATTATTTGATATTAATTTATTTTTTAAAAATATTTTACAGTATTAGTTTGTTTATTCTATGCAACTTGATGTGGCTTATATATTAATTAACTTGTGTTTTTATGGTCTACATTGTTGTATGAAACTTTACTTTTAACTTATATTCTATATCTTACCTTCTATGGTTGTTTACTTCTTAAATAGAAGTTTAGCATCATATTTTTTTATTTTTACAACATATAATTTTTTTTTTTTAAAATAAAGAAGAGTATATGAAATTTTTTTAAATAACTATTTTAAAATAATATTCTTTTTTTACTTAAAAGAATAATATTCTAAATTATTTGGTACCATAGTTTGTTATCTTAGCTTAAATAAGGGACACCAAATTTAATCTAAAATAAATTTGATATTTATAAGAAAAATATATGATAATTCTAAGATTATTTGTAAAGCATGGATAAATAATAAAATGCAAGTTTAGATTAATATCTTGATATGATTATATTAAAATATTTCATATATATATATATATATATATAATTTTAATAAAGAATAAAGATTAATGGCTTTCTTTACAAGTAAAATAAATTTATAAAATTTTCTTATGTATTAATTGTGTTTATTAATTGTTTTCAATACTCTTCAAGTTGATCGTGTTGTTATTTGTTTTTACATCTAAGAAATCATTTAATAAAATTAATAATCCTTATTTATATTAATAATCCTTATTTATATAATAGAATTATATATTTTGTTAACTAAATAACTTATGTTCCAAAAACCTTTTTACTTGTTAAATTCAATAAATTTATTGTCATATAATTAACACAACAATTATGGTGTTAATATAAAAAATATTTTAAAATATAAAATATATTATCAATCTCAAATTTAGGAAATTTTTAAATTGATCCAATCATTTTGTTTAATCAACCCACCCATCCTAACCATCAAAAAAATTCTCCATTGTCAGATTTGCATTGATTAAAAATCAATGAAAAAATGGTTAGATTAGTGATAATGGTTTACTAATGATAATGGGTGGGTTGATTTGATAATTGCCTGGGTCAATTTAATAATTTCCTCGATTTATCACCTGTATACATATATATATATATATATATATAAATTCAAATCAAGAAAGACAATAAACTATTACCACAATTCAAAGTATTTGTAAGACTAATATATAAGTGTGACTTTTCTCGAATTTTCTGGAAAGATGTGATGATCATTACATTACTACTGTATCTTTGTTATGATAACATAATTGTTTCCAAATATACTTCCTCAATACATATACTACTTGGCAATTAAACTTTACAAATTGGTGTACAAAACTCTAAACTAGGTAGACATTGTGATACTACTCAAAATTAATTTCATTAAAACTATTTATTCTGCTGGTTCATTGTGATTACATTTGGACCAAGAATGGGATCTTCACTTGTAATCCCAAATCAGAACGGACGCGTTACTAGATATCTGTGCCAAGCTGCAAGCAATCATGAAATCGCAAACGATTAGCCTGAGCATCATTAATGTGAAATTACCAAAGGAACGCCAGAACTATTCGTAAAAGAGAGTAAAAACTGAATGAATTAATTACTGGCAAGGCATAGAAGTGCATGACTTTTATTAGTGCGTGGACACGCGGAAGCAGATTGCAACTGCAATGACCCAAGGCTACTCCATCCCAACGAGACCTAATAATCTCTACTAAGATGGCTGAAACCAAAGCCGCAAGGATATTTCGATATCCCGTCTACAGTGGGACGTTCATAATATTGTCGTGATATTAGGTCATGCTAAATCCTTACGTGAATCGGTATGAATTGGATACATTAATCTAAAGGTATTGTACAGATTACATCTCATTTCCCGCATGTCTGCTAACTCTAGGCAGTAGAGACGAATCTGGAAATATCCTCAAGCCCACCCTCTTTGTAATGACTGGCCAATTGCTCCCGCACGTCATCCCATGTGCACTCCACTGCAGCAAGGTCCAACAAAACGCCTGCTTGGTCTACCGCCACCTGTGCCAACAGCAGCTCAATACTTCTTTTCATACCGAGAAATGGACGATGAGCTATTTGACTTCGTAATCAGCATCTTTCATGAAATATCCAATTTATCCTCGACGGTGATAGAAACTTTCAAAAGAAACGAATTAAAGGAGGAATCGACGATTGCAACTAACCTGTTCTAAACTCTTGCCTTTGAGAAGGTCTTCCTGACGGCCCTCATCGGAGGCCCGTTCTCGCATCAATTTTATTTGCGACTCGCCGCAGTTTGCAATGCGAGCAACATCTGCGTAACTGGACCCCAATGTCCACCACGGTGACCGAAGAGCACATCGGGCAGCATCTCTGGCCTCCTTCTTGCGCCCCACCTACAGACAGAAACTTACGTTCAAAAAACATCTTGCTCATGATCAAGCCATAGAATCTTCCCCCTACAGTAAGGTTCCAATTCATCTACAGCGCGTCATGTATATTTTCGTCATATATGCATACACTCATGCTGATTTAGGTCTATCAAGACTTAGGATATGTGCCATTCTACTACATAAACCTTTCAAAAGGCAAGAACCTTTCGTGGTGCAACGTAAAGCCCGCTGCGAAAGTTCATCCCTGACGACGCCCCATAATAAATTCAGTTCTGAAGCAAATCTTCGCCATCGGCTACTAAACTCTTCATCGCAGATGTAGAATTCAAGAGGAAATAGGTAGAATAATCCCATGTTCATAAGCAAGTAGTTGCATTTTAAGTTTTAGGCTCTTCAAGAATGGCATCTACACTTCGGAATAATGACACAGTCTCCACCTCCAATAGTGCACACAATTCATAATGCGATACATAGGGTTGATAAATAATTGAAATAATAAAAAGTGATCCGCAGAGGTCCTCGATGCAGGTCTGTGGCGCGGATCGGTAAATTCACAACAATCATGCCATCGATAATTGAAAAAAATCCGAAGCAAGTAACACTATCACTAATTGGATTATGATGAGTGAGAACACCGACCTTAAGCATGAGCTCAGCATTGAATACATAAGGCCGACCAAATCCTGGGAAGTGCCTCTTGCTTGCGTAATACTCCCCTGTCACAAGAGCAGAAATATTATCACCTTTCTCTAGATGCCGCAGAGCAAGCCGCTCGAATACGTCAGGGAAGTGTCCCACATTTTTCATTAAGTAAGCATCCATGCTGCTCATTTTCGACGCTTTAAATTCGCCAAGGCGGTACAACGACCTCCCGACCGACCCTGCGCTTTCCGAAATTCGGCCAGAGCTTTCCGCCACATCCTCCTCCACCAAAGCCCTGTGAATATACTCCTCAGGACTTTTCGCCAGCAATAAAATGCCATGGCGCTGCACACGCACTACAGGCACATTCACGGAACTCCCCGGCGTCGGCCAGCGCAGGAGGGCCGTCATATCGCCATCCTGCGACACCGTGAGCGGAACTGCAAGCGGAATGATCCCTTTCCGCTGGTAGGGCGACACAACACTCTCCCCCTTGGCTTGCAGCACATTCAGCAGCGCCTGCAGCGACGCCGGCGGCTCCAGCGCGGCGACCTCCTTCAAAAATACCGAGTGATCCGAGGCCGTAGCTTCGGAGCTAAAATTCTTAATCCAACCACGGCAGACATCGCTTGCACCGATCCTGTGCAGCGGCAATCCACCGCCTGACACAGACAAGGATGCGACTCGCTGCATCAATCTAATCGGCTTCATTGCTACTGCTCCGATTCGGCCCTAAACCTTGAAAAACAAAAAACCTCGGCAACATTTTGCAAAACGATGGCTCTTCCTCTGATCGATCAACCGCCGAAACCTTGAGGCTACTTCTAGTTGGAGCTTTGCAGGCTTTGGACGGTGGTTATGAACGAATGACCCTGTTCGTTCAGGTTTATCATTCGTTCGTGGCGCTGTTGGTGGTGGGTCAGCACCTTCTGTTTAAATTATAAATAGTGTGGAAGCTCATGAAAGCTCGTATGTTCTTGTATATAAAATGGATGTGAATTTAGTGATTGCTTATAATATTTATTCTTAAAAAATTTTGGACATGGTTTTGAAATGTCAACAAAGTCTTGGTTTTTTCATGTCAGAATAGAAGTTGGTTTTATATATATTGAAATAAGTTAGAGATACATATATAAGCACATTTGTTTTTTTTCTGAACATATAATTTATGATTTGGATAATATATTAAGGAATTTATATTTATATGTGATATTTTATAAAATATCATTGATATATTCAATGTTGTGATTCTAACAATTTTTAGCTCATTAGAATAAAACATCATATATCTTTAGGATTAATAAAAATTTGTAACAATCTAATAGGTGAGATTTAAATATTAATAATTCAAAATTAGGTGATCTAAATTACTAAGGCAATAAATCTCTTTTATTCAAGGATATAAATTTAGACAAAGTTTTAAAAATACTACACACTCTTATATTATTAAAAAAAAATAAAAAATAAAGAAAAGATAAATTTAAGATAGAAAACAAAACTAGAATGGATATTTGTCAAGGACATGAATTTTGAGAAAAGAAATCTTTAATATACTTTTTTCACACTCAAAAGAATTAGAAAATCACTCAAAAATGATATGGTATTAAACTAGAATGGCTATTGCTAAAGATAAGAAGACTAGAAAGGCATTGACAAGAGTGAAAAAGACTTCACTCTTGCCTCCATATATACTCTTAATTAGGAGTTATAAAACCTCCAAATGTATTGATTTTACAAGACATGTATCTTAACTTACAAGGTAAGTTTTCTATATGTGCGCCACATAGTTAGCTTGTTCTGCAAGCTATTAACATGTAATTATCTATTGACCAAGTTTCTAGCCTATCAATCAATGACAAATACATGTAAAGTCAAAGCGATATCTATGAAGCTTCTAGAATGCTTCTATATAAGATATTATGAGATAAATTTATTTTTAGCTACTTCTACTTAATCATATAGTATGATTGTCGTTTTACTTATTCTACAATTCCTTCTAAAATAAACATGTATAGGAGAATTCGAACTTAGGGAAAGACTAAGCGCATGAGTTTCACTTGTTAGGATCACACAATTAACTATATTCCGAACCACTAAAACACTAAAAAATACTACAATGCTTCCTCCCAGTAACAATACTCCTTCATCAACTGATAACCATAATGTGCAACCCTGCACTCTCAAAAGACCGCTCAAAACTCAATAAATTCCATCCAACACTAGAAATAATAGACTTCACTCCAACCAATCTGAATTCAGAGAATTCTTGTAATCACAGACTTCCTTTGTCGAAACACACACATACAACTCTCAATAAACAACAATCATAATCTTCCATCCATAATCAATCTTCCAATAACTTCTCATATAATTCAATCACTCAGTACTCAAATTACATAATCAATAACTCATAAATCAATCTCTAATTTATTCCACAGATTCACTTCTCAGTATTCAGAAACTATCCATTACTCTTCAACAACAAAGAAAACAAAAAAAATAAAGAGGAAGCACCAAGCTTAACCTTGGCTCATGACTATCACAGTCTCGCCCTCCAACAAACTTCTACAACTCCTTTATAATTGCTACTGATTTCAAGATTCTAACCGAAATCCTATAGTTAACCGCTTTTAATAACTAAATCAACCATCCGTCCTCCTGAACTAACTATTCTATGGACTATTAGTTTATTTTACCAATATCTTACAAAAACAAACTAATATCTATTCTACATAGTCCCACTCCTATCTGTGTAGTGTCCTCGCAAATACACAATGGATACCTATCTACAAACTACTTAACAAAACTCTACAAAATTATTAATTTCTCTGATCCACCCAATTAAACATTTGCTACATTATTGAATTTAGGTTCCACCGATTCTGGTTCTAAATTCAAATTTTTCTCCTCCTCCAATCCGTCCATCGACTCCTTCATCAACTGGTTTGAGAGATCTTCATTATACTCACCCAATTCATGGACTTGAGCCTCTAGTTTCAAGTTCTGGGCATCCCGAAGTTCCAATTGATGCTGTTGCTGACTCATCCATTCTGAAACATCTTCAATTGAGACTTGTGATTGGCTTCTCACTATTAACTCTTTTGTCAATTTTGCCACCTCAGCTTATAAAAATTCAATTTCAGACCTCAACTTCTGTATTTTATATCTGGATTGGTCACTCAATGCTTCTTTCTCTTTCATCAATAACTTTGCCTCATCTCCTTACACCTGCAACTGACATTTGAGTTTCTCCCGTTCCAAATCTTATGTCTTGCGATTTTAGATCAATTCGTTTTGTTGTCCTTCCACAATCCGTAAGATGTGTTCATTTTCTTTCGTCTAAGATTCATATTGGTGAACCCATTTCCATTCCAATACCAGCTTGAATTCCTCAATTTCATTTATCATCCGTTCTTGCTCTTCAATTCTTTGGTTTTGCTCTAATATCACCTTCTTAATGTCCTCTAAATCTCGTTTGCTACTGCCCTCTACGTCCAATGCTCGCACCATACAATGTATTTGTGAAATGTGCTTCAATAAAGCATTCTTAAGAAGTATTCCTTCGGGCAATCGATCTTATGGAAATACCAACTAATTAATATCCATCAAAATTGGGGTTTCATTCTCTTCCTCCACCGCTAAACAAATTAGAATCCGTTTTGATTCAATAACTCGAACGATTCCTTGTGCCACTGTACGACTTGATTCCCCAATTTCGTGTATTACATCCGCTGTATTAACATTTTGTGCCAACAAATTTCATTCTCTCTGAGGAGGCACTAGCACTAATACATGACTTTCTTCTACTGGCGATGTTTGATGCAATGTGTGCGCAATCACAGAATACACATAATTAGAACAAAACAAATAAGTGAATTTTTCCAATTTCCACTTGGTTCCTATCTCCGCATGAATACAAGTAGCTACATATGCTACCCAGTTGAACACCATCCCTTCTAATGCCCCTACTGCTGCATACAATAACCGTTTGGACATATATGTGGGGTGTCGGTACAATTCTAACCGCCTCACCACAAAACAGAACCATTCCACGAGTTCTGGTGAAATTGCCTTAGCAGTCCACCAACCTTGGTTCCTCTCAAAGGTCGACATACCTCCCTTGAAATATCTTCCTAGACTAAAGTCGCTTGAGTCATCAACTCCTACCGCAATTTCTCCAATAGGAAGACATCACACCTTTTCTAGGATTATTCCATCAATCTTGATAATTCGTCCTTGTACCACATTTGATCCATCCTTTGGGTCATAGTTTGTGATATATTCCTCTACTAATGACACATTAATTGATGGTAAATGATCTGACAGGTGCAAAAACTGGAACAACTACGCATTCCGAAAGTCTTTTATTTTTTTCGGCGTTCAACAAATATTCAACTTCATCGGTTCTATATTGGTAATGATTATCAGAGAAGGTGGTTTTGATATGCATCTAGCTCTCATGTTTTTGCCATTGTCTTCTTTGTTTGTAGCTCGCTTTGCACTTTCAATTGCCATAACGCTTCCTCTCTCAAACTCTTTACTAGAACTACTACGCTCAAAAATATAAGAAAGACAAGAAATATCAATCTTAGAAAACAACCAAGAACGACAACACAGAATGACTTCTAAGTGGTGCCCCACTCCTATTCTCTTACTACCGGTGATCATGACAACATGTTATCCATATTGTCCGTTTTTCACCTCCGTCCCATCTGACACATTAATAATTACTAACTATCTTTTCAGCCGCCTCTACACCCTAACACACTTATACCATACTTAGGTCTATCTTGTGTCGATGAAAGGTAATGGAAAGTAATCTTTCTTGGTGGCTGCATTAAGTTTCTAGAAATCCTAACAAATACGGATTTTTCCATTCTTTTTTGGCACCATGATGATTGAAGAAATCCACTCGCTATTCGGTACTGGATAAATAAAACCAACTACAAGAAGCTTGTCCAATTCCTCCTTCACCATGAGGAAATATTTAAGATTAAGGCAATGTTACCTTTGTCGTATTGGTTTAGCGTTCTCTTCTAAAATGATACGATGCTCTTAGACATCAGCAGGAATATCCTTTAAATCAGCATAAGTCCAAACAAAAGGAGACTTATGATGCAAGAAAAATTCTATCCAACAGGTCAACTCCTGGTCCTTAATATCTTCGTAAATCTTAATTGTACGTGACTCTGCTATGGTCGCCAAGTTAATAGTTTGACATATAGGTGCAATGGCGATGTTTTGTTTCAATCCCCACACTGGTTGAAAATCACTCGGTAAGTCTGACATGTGCAAAGTACTGAATCCTGTGTCAAGGGCACTAACATGGTGCATATCATACTTGGTCATTCAATCAGTACTAACATAATCAGAGCTTTCTGAATCTGTTGGATATATCAAGTACTCCTCCGGACCTCTACATTGGTATACCACTCCAGGGTATTGTGGTACCTCTATGGACGCCTCTGTAAATGGTGTGACTTCGTCATCATCGGAGCTAAGCTCATCGTTTGACGTCAATTCTCTTGCTGACAATTGAGACTCCCCATGATAGCGTACTGGATACATTTGTAATACCATTTTATTGCCGCCTTTGCCAATTGTCAAAGTATCCCGACCCCAATCGTTCTTGACCTTTGCCTGATAAAGCCAAGGTTGTCCCAATAAAATTGGATATGATAAAGTTGAATTTTATAGCCGAAAGATGATATAGTCAATTGCATATGCAATACCATCAATTATAGTTTGAACACTCCATAAAATATCCATTGATTTAACTCGGCTATGATTTACCATCCGTAATAT